GGTAGAAAATAATAAACCAAAAAGAAATATGCATGGTCAAACACTAGCTACGATTTCGACAAACGACCAACTTCTCAAATTTAGGCTCAATATTTCAAGAAGAAATACCTGTGACATATACAGCGCCATTAAAATGAACGTTTTTTGAGATAACATTACCCATCTTACAAGATGAGTACATGTACAGCTGTATGTTGCTTCTATGTCAAACCTACCAGCTGGTTTGGGACTCTCTTGGTACGATGCAGCTGAGATTGATTCTTTTGACATTGCCAAGTTATCCATTTGTTCTGTAGAGGGTTAATTCAGAGAGGAAGAAAAACCTTTCTTTTAAGAAAAATGAAAAATGAAAAATGAAAAAGTCCACATTCAAATGAAATGTCATTGCGCCTTTTGTGTACTTTTCATTTTTCATTTGACTTTCATTGCTTACCAAGTCATTTGAATAGAAGACGTGTGTAAAGATGTCACATGTAATTATAATACTGTAGTTCACAACTTAAGACTTTCAGGCACTTGCACTCCAGTGCTACTTTACACGTTTGAACTCTCTTCTAAATGATCCATAACTCTTCTGAACAACCGCAACTAAAAATAATCCGCTAGTTTGATAGAACAGACTATCAAACTAAACACTGCACTGAGAAGAGTTAGCTAGATTTCTTGGCAAGTACGCCATGGCAAAAACTCGAGGAAATCTTATCTTCATCCAGGTTCTCAAGCAACACTCACATGGATGTATTATTTGAAAATCCCATATTCTTTAGCACCATACAAGTTGTGATAATTTCTTATTTCCTATTAAACTAATTCACCTCCAAGATGATCCATCCTGTCTTCAACAAGAACAGTGCGACTCTCCAGCTTTTCCATCCTCTGGTTTGCATCCCCTAAAATATAATTGAATTTTACAAAGTAAGATTTGACAAATGAAAAGCGCACTCAAACAAAATTTCAACTCAAGAGGTCAACTGGCTTACCGTAAAGCTCTATTAAGCCCCGGGGGGCTTATTTAATTTCACGGGGGCCTTATTAGAGAGAGAGGCTTCTAGAGAGGGGGGGGGCTTATTTCAAATCATGAATTTTCAAGAAAATTCACATTAATTTTTCAATCTTTACCATTACACCACTAACTAACTAAAACAGAACAAGAAATAAGGTTATATATGACCGTCTTACAAAGGAAACGTCATTTATACCCTAACTCGACGATAGTGCTGGAAATTAAAGCCAACGTTTCAATACATCAATACAAAGTGACTGAAAACGCCAGAAAATATTGCTGAAAAGTCATTTACATCAGCCTGACGGAAGGAGGGGGGGCTAAATAGAGCTTTTACGGTAACTCTTATATTCTGAGGAAATTAAAACTACTGTAGATAGCTTTCCTTTTAGACTATAGGAATCCGGATTTTGTTTTTCTGTTAGACTGTACTGTTTATTTGATAAAACAATCCGAACAAATCATGAACAGAGATAATCCGAAGTGGTATCTGAATCTGGTTTCAGTTCAGATTCATCCCATTAAGCAAGCTATAGAACCAGATCGCAGTTCAATCAGGGACTCAAAGCAGAGTGTAATGAACACCCAACCATCAACCTATATGTAGGTGACACATAGCTGTCAGAACCCCTCCCTAGTTCATTCCATCCCAACCCAAGGTGGTGGGTGGAGAGTACAAAACACTCATTTCTAGGAAAAAATATGGGTCCTGTGAGAAGCAAATTGTCTTTACATTTAGGTGACTTTGATGTACCATACTTCTCTTACTTCCTATATATGCTACCATGCCAAAGAAACCAGTTAGAACAAGAATGCGTGACAGCTGAAGAAACGAACCATGTGCGCTTACACACGGGACAAGCAAGACAATGGTCAAGAAAAAACCACATTTATTTCAGTTTGAAAACATTCATTCCTTTTAATTCTGGTTGTACCAAGAAATATTTGTAACAGTTTTATTTATTATTGTGCTAAAAACCAAGTGGATAAATAATGCAGATAGAAGATGTGTCCACGTTTCGCGTGGTGCGCACAGCTATGTTCCCCCTATGCAAGCATTATTATAATTATTATTAAACTATGCTTCTGTTGACCACTCTTTAAGCTTGCAATCCTCATGACTTGCAATCCCTTAAGAACTAAATATGTCAATTCAGAGAGCAACATGGGTCATAAACAAATATGTGTTCTGTTCTTAATTTAATAAGACTTAAGAAAAACAAGCACTGCCGGCTCAAGTCTGAACTTTGGTATGCATAGCGTCAAACAAGCTAGGAAGCTAGTGGTTATTCCATACCCCAGTGCTCACATGAATAATTAATGTGTAGTTTACAGATTGTAACATTTAGTTACCTTTCAAAATCCCATCCTATCGTTCAGGTTTGTCCACGGTCGTGCCTTCCACTTAGTCCTGTGCGGTACTTTAAGTTCTGCCTGTCCCAGTCTCCAAGATTATCTGGCGTCCAGTCTCCAATTTCTGCTGTCCAAGGTCTTCTGCTGTCCAGTCTCCAATATCTGCTGTCCGATATCCAATTTCTGCTGTCCAGTCTCCAGAGTCTGCTGTCTCCAGTCTCCCAATCTCTGCTGTCCAGTCTCCAATATCTGCTGTCCAGTCTCCAATCTTTGCACTTTCTGTTCCATCTCTTTCAGAGTTCTTGCAACATTTTGCAGCTCATGCTGGACTTTCGTCTTCTCTTCCTCAAATTCAACAGACATATTATCCACAGCATCTTGTAGTGTTTTAAGTTCTTGTTGAACCAGATGTAACAATACTGAATCTACAGGAGAATTCACACAGAGATGTGTTCCTGCCAAAAAATGCATGATGAACTGATCAGTGAAGAATTGATCACTGTACTATCACTAAGTAGTAATTTAGTGAGCGACATTCTTCTGAAGGTCTTACACCCCACAGGTGTTTTTAGCCCAGGAAGTTTATACGCGTATCCTTTGAGTATTTTTGGGTGTGCTGCCTATATCGCCAGGTTTAAGTTTAGCATTGACATATTTTATGATGCTTGATATGGGGTATTTTTGTGGTGTGGGGAGGGGGGTTTAAATTGTTATTATATTTATCACATGGGTATTTTCAGGGGTGAAAGCACAACACCTCTCTACATCTTTTAGGGGGTTGTTTGCACCTGTGGTGAAAATTGATCCCAAGAAAAACATTCAGCTTTTTGTAGCCTGAGGAGTTTCCTAGCTTGTGTATACCGACTGTGTCAAAGAATATGTATTAACATGTTTTAAATGATGTCGCAGGTCTACAGAGATCTGTGAGCTGATTGGCTGTCACTCACACAACAAATTCATAACTTAGCAACAGCCAATCAGTGGCATGAGATTTGATCTCTATAGACTTGCATCACCAGTAAATGAAATTCTTCAGCTAGTAAGTTCAAAACTCAAACATTTCAGCTCTCACAAGGGAATAAATTGTGAGTCAGTGACTTCAGATTCAGTGTATATTTTGTGGTTTAAATTTATTTTGGTTTAAAAAATTTCAAAAACCAGTTTGATTTTTATTTTCCTTTGTTTCTGATTATGGTAATTTAATGAATATTAGACGGGAAAAACTGGTTTAAAAAAATTTAAACCAAAAATTTTTTAACCACAACATATACACCGACATAATAATCTAGCATCATAGGCACGCAATGCATGCAAAAAGCTTGGAACTTGGTTTAAATTTGTATTAGGTTAATTATTACGATTACAAGAAGATGTACCATCAGTATTGTAAAAGTTGCATCATTTCTTGCAGCACATCATGAAAATAATGATCATTTTAACACACAAATAATTACCTTTAGATTCCCAGTCTTTAAGTTCTGCAATAAGTTTTTCCTTCGTCTACAACTGGTAGACCCATGACTTTCACAAGGTGTTCCATCTCAATAAAACTTTGCTGAAAACTTGGCTTCATCCCATTTACTGAAGACACAGTGTGCCCAGTCATTCCTCCCATTCTGACATCACCTGCAGCAGTTTGTACAGCTGCAGAGAACACAGGCACCCCACCAAGCAATGCCATCACAGCCGATGCATCACAATGGTCATCAAATGCATTGAATTTGGCCATGTAGTTCTCCACATACAGCCTGGCAAAGTCAACATGGGATGTGACTCGACAGTCAAACAAAGCATAATTGTATCTTCCACCAAGCTTGGGATGAACACCATTTCCATTGATGTTCTCGTATTTCAACACCTTTCTTGGTGGCCACCTTTGAAGACGACCAGATGTGCTCTGTCCATCAATATTGTGGCTGGTCTTGAGCTTGTTGTATTTAGTTTTTTGATCCCTTGTTCCACATATGGACGTATCTGTGGTATAAGGATCTTGTTGAGTGCTATTCCAGCCACAAGCCATCGTTTCTGATTCTCTGTCACACTAAGGTGACTTGGCCTAAAAAGTAATGAAAGGAGATTGTAATAACATCCATTTACCAAAAAAAGAGGGCAGTAACCGCTTAAAAGGGGCAGTGTCACCAAGATTTAGTACTACTTAAACATCCTAGCAGAATTGTTTGTATCAATTGAAGCTTTGTCTTGCTAAAAGTTACTATAATAGCACAGAAAAACTTTATTTGACTATTAGGACGGGTAGGAAGGAAGTGGAATGAAACTTGAAAACGTTGGACCAACGCTTTCAAGTTTTATGGTGTTCTTGGGAAAAATAGCTCAAATCAATGATTCTCAGTTTGTTCCCACCTCAAGAGAATGAATTGTTGTTCAGGAGCCATTTTGTGCATCAGTGAGTGTACCTTCATAATTCAAAACCTTGAGAAAACTCTCGTGATACTGCCCATTTAATAAAATCTAATAATAGTGGCCCACCACTAGGCTACCACTGCTGGAGCTTATCCCGGTTTCTGTAGCATCAAGCGAGTACCATGTCGCAGGTATTATGTCATGGGTACCCATTTATACTCTGGGTGGAGAGGGGCAATAAATGTGAGAGTAAAGTGTCTTGCACAAGAACACAACAAGACAATGAATCTGTCCAGGGCTCGAACCTGGGCCGCTTGATCTGTAGTCCAGCATGGCTAACCATTAGGCCATTATTTTACGGTATAATTATTACATTAAAGTAAAGTTTCTATTTTCATAACATCTGCAAAAATGTTATACTATAACTTTCTTTGCTTCAAGTCCCGTCTCACCTCTTCTCTTTGCTAATTAATTCTAGAAGACACTCTCACACTCAGACTATACACTATAGTACTCACCCAGAGGCAGCTGTTGCCATTCCATGAATTTTACAATGATGAATTACTTGACCATCCCGTTAATCAGGTGAATGCATACTAATCTGTTAGTTTGCCTGTGAATGGCTGGGTATCCTGTGCATACAGGCATAAAGAAATGAGAAATTTTCATTTGTTGGTCATTCAGCACCATTAAGAATTTTAAAATTATTTTGGGTCGCATGCACATAAATCCTGTTGGCAGTACTCCCTTAAATAACCTTTAGATCTTGAGGTATGTGTAGCCTGATTCTCAGACGGTCCAACTCGGTCGGACCATGGAATAGGGTAGTGATTTTTGGTTCAGGTCTGACATAGGGTATGAAAAATCACATTATATTTTGGTCTGTAATAGAGTGAGGGTTTCAAGAAGCAGGTCACACCCCTGGGGGTACTCCCCTTTATTTATAAGCTATATAGGTATGTGCCACCCCACAGAGTATGGTTTTTGAGCTGTTTTGGTCTTAAAATCGGTCCTAGGTTTTGCCATTTTGGTCTGAATTTGGGTATCAATTTGCCTTCAGGTCTGAAATTGGGCATGGTTTTCAAGCAGAGAGCCACAAGAGCATTTCATCAGGCTTTTCATCTTCAGACCAAAAAGAGAGAACGAATATGGGCATGGGATTTTACAATGTAGTGGCCTGCGGGGCATGATGGGAGAACGGCTGTATTCGTAGGCTACGATTTTAGAGGCCGGCTGGCCTAGTTGTTTGAAAGCCAATTAACACTAATCCAGGATTAACAAATAATCGAGGTTTCAATTTCTCCTATATAAATGTGGGTTTTCATGATAATGTTTTGTGGAGTTTGACATTAGTCAAAGTCAAAACTGAAGAGCAAAAAATATAAACAGAAAATCTCACCAAAAAGTTACAAAACTGAAATCAAAATTCACGCTAATCCAGGATTAGCTTAATCATGCTTTGAACAACCGGGCCCAGGTCTGAAAATGGGTGTGGATTTGGGTCTGAAATTGGGTCAGGATTTAGACTGTTCACAACCTCTCTATTTTCTCAGATCGTTGTGTCCTACGAGCGAATTGGAACTGAGCATGAAGCGCAAGCGTGGGCGTAGGGGATTGGAAAGGGCGTGGGGTGCGGGGAAGGGCCCACCCCCATCCCTTTGAGCTCCCTCATGCTCTGCGCTCGCTTACGTTTGCTCACTGTTAGCGTCAAGAAAATAGAGAGGTTGTGAAACATGCAGTCTAGTCAGGATTTGGAGACCGGGTGGCACATCCCCACCAAAATTCCAACGAGTACCCCCATGGAGCCACACCCCTCCCCCACCAACTGAGGGTATTAATTAGACAGAGGTTTGTCAGATCCATCTGACACTCAGCATCATCAATACTGTGCTACGGAGTTGTTATTGTTCATTACTGCATGTAGTTCACTGAGTTTTGTAACTGCTTTCTAGATGTCAATGTACTTGTAGTATAAAATGACAAGAAAGAATATTGTTCCTATCGAATTATTGCTTGACTTGAAATCCCTCTTCAGCCACAGGCAGCCCAAACTCACGATTCGAGAAAATATGGAAATTAAATATTTTATTTATGCAAGCGCGGGATGCAGGAGCCCATCACTAGGAGCAAGCAACTGGACGGGATTCGTGTCACAGCGTTTTTACAGACCAGGTTATTTTTAGATTCCTTTTCCCGCGAACTCCTATTCAAACAAGCCAATCAAAAGTTGTAATGTAATGAATTACGTCACTGCATGACATGTGACATGTGAGTCAGGCAGAAAAATAAAAATGGCGGACTGACGCGAAGATTTTTTCGTGTCATATTTCTCAATTGACAAGGAGATCATATTTTTTCCGGGAAAAAGGAGTCTAAAAATAACCCGGTCTGTAAAAATGCTGTGACATAGACGGAGTATGGGAGATGGACGCTCCTAGTGATGGGCTCCTGCGGGACGTGACTCTCTGAAGTAAAGCGGTATTGTGTTACAATGTCGGCCATTGGAATTTGAGCGTATTGTGTTACCTTGTCTGTTTCCTGTTGTCTTTTTGGGCTTTTTCATCGTTTTGGGGGAGTTTTTCGCTACAACAACAATATGAAAACTCCCCCAAAATGATGAAAAAGCCCAAAAAGACAATTAGTGACAACAGGAAACAGAAAAGGTAAGAACATTTTCTTTTATTTTATTGAAAAATAGGACAATTTTAATATTATCCGAGCGGTTAATTCTACATTATTTTGAGCTCCATACAATGTCTTACGAGTGCTCAAATTCCCAACGGCCGACATTGTAACACAATACGCTCAAATTTCCAATGGCCGACATTGTAACACAATACCGCGTTACTTCAGAGAGTCACGTCCCACGCTTGCATAAATAAATATTTAATTTCCATATTTTCTCGGAATCGTGAGTTTGGGCTGCCTGTGCTTCCAGCTAGCTTTTTCTGTAGCCATTTAACTGAATTGACATTTGACCATGCCCACAAAGTATTTTTGGTGAACTTGCATTAAGTGGCCAACCTGTAGCGGCCAATTTCTAAATTCCCGAGGGTGGCCATTATGTTCAGGTTCATTTATTTAACTGTATAACCAAACGAGTCCACTTGTTTGTTCTACGTCTATTTTTGTGGGTTTTACTAAAATATATTTGTCTTCTTGTGAAATGGAGCAGTTCGTTTTCATTGGAGGTCAATGTATGTGGGGGGGGGGGGGGGGGGGGGGGGGGGGTGGGGGGGGGGGGGGGGGGGGGGGGGGGGGGGGGGGGGGGGGGGGGGGGGCGGGGGGGGGGGGGGATTGCCTACGTTCTTTGGTGGCCCTATAGGGGAGAAGGAATAGGATGCCAGGTGAAGAAAAAACCCCATTGCCAAAATTCCCGGGGGTGTGCCCGGGGAGAGGGCATCGGTTACAGTAGGAACACATTGAACCTTGCATAAGAAGCTTGATTCACCAGGACAATCTGTCTTATTATTACAGAGAAGGTACTCAACCTTGTTCCCAGGGTCTCTCTTCTTGGAGGGAAGAAGAGAGACCGCTCGGAACAAGGTTGAGTAGTGTACTGAGCCCAATCAGCCACAAGTTATCCATAAAGATTACATTACATTAAACATTACCTTCGGAACACATAGCAAAAACTAGTAAATGGATAAATTATTTTTTTTTTTTTTTTCTTTTTTTTTTACATGTATATATCTATTGGACGTGGCCTTGGGAATGGCCAAACGAAAGCCTTCTGACCTGCAGGACCCTGTAGCACTGTTGTACTTCCGGGATAATATAAAGATTTTGTCAAAAATAAAAAATAGGTACGGGTTCGCACCCTGTACTACAGCCAATGAGTTGAACCAATTTTGTTTTATTCAAGTTTTGTCTAAACTCTTATGTCACACAAACACGTTACAAAACGTAAAAAATCGCAAAATAACAGTTGTATAGATGTGCTGACCCAGTTTCAATTTTTTTTGCACAATTTTTTTTCGATTAGCTACGTTTGGTAGCGAAGGCCGGCGAATTGCCAAAAGTCTTTCGCACAAATCATTCAAAGACGGGCAACGAAGTGATTGCCTTAGGAGCTTGACCAGATTTTTGAAAAAATCACACAATTTTATCGCTCCCTATAGTTTTTTTAGCTCCGTTTTAAGCCATTAAACTGTTCATTCACGCAAGATGCTATGTCTTGTGATAATTCAAAGATTTGTTTTAGTTAGGCCGCGTTGCAAAATAAACGGGGGCGACAAAATAATTTTTTACGCGGTTCATCCTGACACTTTTAATAATTATTTTCGACCGAAAGACGCAAGAACATGGAACATCGATATTACGCCGCGGGGGGGGGGGGGGGGGGGGCGGGGGGGGGGGGGGGGGGGGGGGGGGGGGGGGGGGGGGGGGGGGGGGGCGTGGGGGGGGGGGAAAAAAGGGGGGGGGGGGGGGGGGGGGGGGGGGGGGGGGGGGGGGGGGGGGGGGGGGGGGGGGGGGGGGGGGGGGGGGGGGGGGGCGACAACGGGGGGGGGGGGGGACCGCGGGGGGGGGGGGGGGGGGGGGGGGGGGCGGGGGGGAAAATCATGTCTATGCCACTACACTGGGTCTGATCGAAAACCCAAATTACCGGCGGCGATTTGGAGAACATTTTGTCTGCAAGTTCAAGACGAATCTCCTTCGATGGTTTCAGTATCGAAAACGAAAGCACTCGAAAACGAAAACCGAAGCACGAGCACCCTGAAGTCCCTCCCGAAAACGAGAGCACCCGAACTCGAAAACAACGAAGCCACCCTGAACACTCGAAAACGAAGCCACCGCGAACCTCCGTGTGAAAAAGAATGCACCCTACTCCAGTGGTGTATTTAAAAATCAGAAACACAGTCACCAAAACACGATACACTGAATTAATTTGTAACTTATACTGTATCTTAAAAAGAACGAACTGCAACCCACAGTAACAAAAATTTCAGACCGCTCTTACTTGTATAGAATGGCGAAAATCGTTAGTCCTTGCAGCTATATATTCTTTGGGTAGTCACGGCAAACGCTTTTATCCGGTATCGAGAGATGCGTGCGGGACATGATAGAGCCTGCCGAGCTCTATGGGTATTTCGCGAAGGAAATCGAAGATGTCGTGACGATCACCGCAAAAAACAACGAAGATACTCAAGAGTGTAGCACCGAAGATTTAAAAATTCGCGTGGTACGAAAGAAAGATTATCTGTCATCTTCTGCTCGATCGTCCTATCTGAGTATCTCTAAATTTTTGGAATTCGGCCATCCGCGCGAGATCAACAATAACTTGCCACAAAGACATTTCAGACTGAAAATGACAAAAATGTATCCATGATGGCCAATCATCAAAGCGGACGGAAAAACG